AAATAAAATGATTGTGGAAAATATTAACGTAATTAGACGAAACACTACATAAACGAAAGTATCAAGTTTATAAATTTTATTATTTTTACTACTACATAAAAAAGCTTCGACTTAATAATTCATTTTCTAAAACATAAAATGCTAAGACTATTAGGAGAGTTAGTCCACAGTCTAGAAGTTTGTCAAAAAAAAACTTTCCTGCAAATCATTCCTGTTGTTTATGTTTAGGATATCGGATTCAATTTCAATCGTACCATTTATTTTCAGTATGTACATACTTTCATTAACATCCCTGATCTTTTTACATACTTTGCATGTATTTTATGTTAAAGTTATATATAAATAAAATTAAAACTGGTTTTTATATATTTATTACTATTTTTGTATCAAACAATCGTCACTAACATTAAAAGAACGCCTGAATACATAATATAACAATATCAAAATATTTAGTTGGTAACTTACTGATATATATAGGTGTCATTAGATATAAGCAAGATATAGGTGTCATTAAAATCTGTGTCATAAAAAGTCCCATAGATCCCATATAATACTAACGTTATGGTATATTCGGTTAATGAAACAGCTATAATATCTCTTCAATCTTGGTCTTTACATTTGTTGACTCGAAACCACAAAAACTTCATAACTGATTTTAACACCAATCATGCCACCCGGTTGCAAGGATTTGACAACAAAATCTGACTTTTTTTAACAAACTTTCTAAGGAAGGTACTTTAACTTTCTTTATGGAATCTCTGCCTCTATAGTCTATCCACTTATAAATGATATCAGTACTTAAAAATATTTAAAATACATTAGAGACCGAAAAGCTTTCGGAAATTCTCATTTAAAATTCGCGCGCTGTATATTTTCCGATATTTTAAGTTTATGTAGTTTGGCAGCACTGTCCTTAATTACTATGCCAAAAATGAGCGCGATCTGTCAGACAGTTCGTTTACGGCAGCTGTTGAAACCAGTTCACCTCAGTAGGGCGTTGCGAAAAAAACAATGGAAAAAAATATTGAACAAAGAGTTTGCATCAAATTTTGTGTTTCGAACGAAATTTCGTGTGCAGAATCGTTGCGAATGCTACAAAAGGCTTATGGGGAATCAGTTTTATCGAAAACTCAAGTTTATGAGTGGTACAAAGCCTTCCAGGACGGTCGTACGACCGTCGAAGACATTTCGCAACGCACTACTGAGGTGAACTGGTTTCAACAGCTGCCGTAAACGAACTGTCTGACAGATCGAGCTCATTTTTGGCATAGTAATTAAGGACAGTGCTGCCAAACTACATAAACTTAAAATATCGAAAAATATACAGCGCGCGAATTTTAAATGAGAATTTCCGAAAACTTTTCAGTCTTAATGTATTTAGTAGAACAGGTGCCGATACCAAAGATCTAAGCCCATCAAAGCAGTTCATTTGGAATCAATTGAAAACTGGCTTTAAACTTAAATAAACTTGAATTTAGTATAATTGTGTGATTTGTACTGTTTCTGTCAACAATCACCTTTTAAAGATTTTTGAACAAGAGCCAACCGTGATAGAAAGGCGTTAATACAGAAAAGCTATTCTAAAGATATTTAGGCTTTTTACATGTTAACAATGATTATCAATATATATGGAGCAATGGGCTGTACGAGCTATACAGCATAAAATCTCAACGACTTTCTGACTTCATCATGTCGTAGGAATGAAAGAAAGTGCTCCGGGTGGAAAGATGTTTGATTCGATACCCACTGATGGTAAACGCAGTAGAGCACGTACGCAGTAGAGGAAAAGTTGATCTCCGGTATCGGTATCGGCAAGCGGTACTAGCAAAAGCAACCCACTGATCGGTTGGCTTGACGATTCACGTTTGTAATGGCCAACTAAGAAAAGTTGAAGAAAGCACTTTCAGTTTTTATAAAATGGGGTATTCGCCAATGTACTTTACAATCGTTAGGAAATAGTTTTAAAACCTCTAACTGGCGTTTATTTGAAGCGAATAAGATTTATAATCTTTAACCAAGAAATGCTATTAGGTTTACCAATGTTGTTGTTTATTTGTCCGCAATTGCTAGAAGATTTCATCTAGAAATAGTACAGTAAATTTCAAAAGTCATGCTGGTATGATGCTGTATCTTTTTATATCAAAAATAATAAGCACATATTATATATTAACATAGTTCAAATAAAAATTCAAAATAACCTATAATAATAAGAAGGCTTTAAGAGCATTCGAAAGAAAAACTCTTCTAAAGATCTTAAGGTGAATTAGTCCAGGATTGTTTAGCAGATTCTTTCCAGAGATAGTATAATAGATTTTAAACGTCATGGTGTCACATTGTGGTTTTTAATTAATTATTATTATGTTGAGGCTAGTTGAGTCAGTGCACCTGAGCACTTTTACTCTCTATTAATTGCGAGGTTTTTTCAAAACCCATCTTGCGCCTTGACTAGATTACTGTTTATCACTTCATCAGAATAAGGAATTATTGACCTCAGATCTGCATACCTCCCCGAGAAGCCTGTAACCATTCTAAGATTTGATAACGCAGTGTTGGTAAGTCTGTCAGATTACGCAAATAATTTCAAGGCTCTATCCTTTATGTATTCTTTGATCGGATCAATCTTGATGTCCCTGAGGATCAGTGACGACGCGTGCCCTATCTGGAAGGGTGTGCGGCCCTTCTTTAATGTTGTTTTTACATGTACCACTTATATTAAAATATATGAGATCTTTTATTAATAATAACTATATTATATAAGGCAACAATATATTCGCGCAATATTATATTAACAATTCATTAACAAAATAACATATTAAACAAATTAAATTAATAATTTATATACAAGTTTAATATTATATCAATATGGAAGAAACAAAACTTTTCACATAATTCTCGTAACATCAAACCAAACTTTTTCAAACAAAAGAGTTTGTACTTAGAAACATACATGTTTGTACAGTGATCAAACAAAATCGAAACCACTTGCAATGTGCGCACAAGTACCCCGCACAATAAGAACAGAAATTCGTGGGTGCTGCTGTTAAAAGGGGAGAGACGAAATGTGATAGAAATGTATGGTGAGATGAGCTGCAAACTTCAGCCGCTCATGCAACCACTTTGGCAAATCATCATGTTGGATTCGTATGCATACAGTTGATATTCGAATAGAACAGAAAATTACTCTCATACAATTCCCACTATATAAATCTCTATTTCTGATATTACGAACGGGAGCACACGCACATTATTTTGTTCATATGTAACGTATGAATGTGCGGCCAACTTCTTTGCACACAAAGGGGAGAGACGAAATATAATAGAAATGTTCTGTGATTTGAGCTGCAAATATATGAGCACAACTAACAAGTATAGCGGCTAACAGAAGCAAATTAATTGAGTTTTCATAGACAATTATATTTAATTGTTTTTGCTAAAACTTTAAAAATATATATTTATATGGAAATGTAATAAATAATAATAATTCTTGATGTAAAGATACTTAATAAATTTATATACCTATGTTATTTAACATTTTGCAAATTATATTAGGGTGTTCACCGCACACCTCCGCACCTTAGAGCAGTCGTCACTGCTGAGGATGTCATTCATTCTAATGTATCATGGAACTTTGAAAAGTCTTCTCAGAGCTTGGCTTTGTGCAATTTCTAGCTGATGAATAGAAGTATTTGAAGCTTTGCTAGACGCTACACAACCATATAGAAGTGACGGACGAATTATTTGGTTATACATCAGTTTCCTGTTCTTAGCATTGAAATTTTCATTTCTAAATAGCGGTTGGAGGTAATGAAGAATTTTGGCACAGCTAATTCTTTTCAGTTGAACATGTTTAACTCATGTGAATCGTTTGTCCAACGTGATGCCGAGATATTTAACGCTATCCTCCCAGTTTATCACCATATCACCCACTCTCACTCTCGACGGATTCTGTCTCCACTTACGTGTTATAAACAGAGCCTTAGTTTTTTCATTATTGATTTTTATTTTCCATTTCTGAAAATACTCCAGAATGAGGTTTATATGCTCTTGAAGTGTGTTGGTTATGTTGAGAGCTCATTTATCTGAGTATTGCATACAGTATCGTCAGCATATAACGCCAGAGTCGAGGGACCTAACATTAGAATATCAGATGTATAAATGTTGTAGAGAGTGGGGGAAAGTGGCGATCCCTGAGGAACCCCTGCTTCTACAGATCGGACTGACGAGAGAGCGCTGTTGATTTTCGTGCGAAAGGAACTCCCACGTAGGAAGCAGCCGATGATCTTAGTTAGTCTGCCTGGAACACCTAGATTAGACATTTCAACTATCAGACCATCATGCCACACCTTGTCAAAAGCTTTAGAAATATCAAAAATGATCAATTTAATTAATATTAATGTTTAATTAATTTTCAATTTATAAAAGTAATTAATGATTCAATTAATTAATTTAATCCATTAATTATTGCTAATATTATAACGGTATAATATATAGTTCAAATAAAAATTCGAAATAGCCGTTGTTAAATATTTTTTAATGTCATTTTTTTTCATAATATATTCCGTAATGTATTTATTTTTCTTTGTGTCCCTGCCTTTATGCATTTTTGCATTAATACCCACCAGTTCTGGTCACATTTACAATATCTATGAACAGTCCTGTCAGTAATTTTTGATTTATGTACGGACACATGTTTGTTTGGTGAATCTGATGAATTCAGCTGCTCAAATATGGCATAAAAGTTAACTATTTGCATTGCAATGTATAATATTTAGTTGATATTTAAACATTTTATTAAAATTAAAATTTGCAAAAATATTAAATAAAATTTTAAAAACTTTTGTAAAATAAATGCACTGGAAAAACGAGAGGAAATAACAATTTGTGACATTTACATGACGCATTTGTATTTCAAAGATTTTTTATTCGCATTAACAGTTTTCCATGTTTCTGGTCTTTTTTGCTAAACTCAATAAAATTTTTTTGTCTTCCTTTCCAGAACTATGAAAGCCACAACGTGGCTGTGGCCGGTGTTAACTTTACTCTGCGGCGCTAAGCTTGTTTGCACAGCACAACGTGGGGTTTATCCATTCGATTATGCGGACCCGAATTTGATACAGGTGAGTGTTGGGCTTAAAGGCCTCATCGCTTTAAGCGCGCTAAGTACGTGTGAAGAGCAATCATATAGTATACCACATTTTCCCATTTTTTTTCAATATTTTTTATGACTATTTCAACAAACATGCACACTCACACACACACACACACCCATACGATTTGTCATTTGACTTAATGTGTCAATGTGGTTGTGCATTACGGGCTTATAACGCCTTAGCGTGCGAACTTGTGAACTGGCAAATAAAAAGTTTCAGTTTAGTTGGTAGCAAATTGTGTGACGTAGCAACTCGATGTGTATGAGTGAATGAATATATGTGCTTTGATTAAGTTGGGGGTCGTCACATAAGTTCCATGAAGATTTTTAGTAAAATTATCCAACGATATATAAACTAAACTTTTTGCATTTAATTTATCTTGAAAGCAATTTATTCTTTAAAGAATATGCAATAAAATAAAAATTTAATAAAAATACTATTCACATATTATAACATTATACAGAGATAATGTAGTAGTCTATCAGAAACTTCTCTATGTGATAAAATATTTTATTAACAAAATACTTACTGCACATGGCTTGTGATTAGCAAATCACAAGAGGTGAGGTAGACCTCTTGCATTAAGTGTAGGTTCATTGGTTTCTGTTTAGGGGCATAAGTGTTAAAGTCCTTTAATTTTAGCGTGTTTTGTTTATATATTACCAAAATAATAAAAAAAAAATTTTATTGCAATTAAAAAAAATGTAGTAAAAAAAAAACTTAGATAACACTAGGGATATGAGTTCTTCCTTTGTTTACATAAAGATTAAGTTTATGTATATCATTTTATTGCTATTTAAGTACTTAGCGATAGTTTATTAAAAGTCCATTGAGTTCAAGGATCGTAAATTAACAGTTTAAGTAATATTAATAATGAAATATGTCATTTTTGACTTATACAAAAAATAAATTTGTTCTTAAAATTTTCCACAATATTTAAGATTGTTTGACATAAATGTGCTACAGTGTAACAGCCTGTTAATGTCTTTTGAAAAATATATAAAATCAAAACTTCAATTTGTGTGTTACTTTTGACAACAGGTCTAATATATGCAATTTAATATAATATTTTTCTAATAAATCCAATTTAATATAATCCTCTTTAGTTAAAGTAAAATGCACATTTCAACTTTAAATTAACCTTAATATTATTCTGACTTAATGCTAACAGTTAGGTGGGGTTAATATTATGTGTGGAAGCTAACAATAGTTTAATATTCTTTTTTAGTTTTAATAAAGAAACAACAAAGAAACAATACATTTTTAATATATTTCAAAATTTATTCAATAAATTAGTACAATAACTATTCATATATCAAAAATATATGTCCAAAATATAAAAAAATCCACTTAAGATAAATAATTTCCGTTTAAAAATCTAAAAAAAAAATAAAAACATTTGTAATATATATTGAAGGAAAGCTGATTCTCTTGCTGATTCTAGATCTCTTGCTAGCACGTGAAGATTTTTTCTGATATTCCATAGTTGCATAATTAACCCTTTTAGCATTAAAATTGTAACAATTAAACTACTAATTTCTTGGTATTGACAATTAAATTCAGAAACTATTAGTCTGACATCTGAGTTAGCCAAAACTGATTAGAGCATTGAGTAAGCAAACACTAAATAATGATTATTTACAGTAGTACAAACTTTGCCCTCTGCGGCCATGCATATATTTGGAAGAAGACTTACTGAAATTTATATGAGTAAAACTTATTAGCAACTATTATTATTAATAATTTATACATTCATTGATAAACTATATTTATAATAAATAATTGGTACCAGCCCACTGATAAAACAACAAGAAAAATTCAATATAATTTCTAGTATAATCCACACATATTTATAAAACGTATTTTGGATGATTTTGGATAAGGCATATTTATTTTACACATATAGATAGTCTTCTTACTGATATTTCGTTCGAACACTTTTCATCCAAATATTTCAATTGGTTCCATTTAATCTTATAAAAGTATTGATCCAAGGTAATAAGTAGCTCTATATAGAAATGTATGAGTGTCAGTTTTGTAGATGAGAATGGAAAGCAGTTTTAATACAAGGAAACTGATTAGGCTTTATATAAAATATTTTTTGTAGTATTATGCCAAAAAAAAAACACTTTATTTCATAAATTTTTAATTAAAACTAAAGATTCAAACATTTTTTTAAGTTGCTTGTATTCCAAATTCTTTAACTTTGAAGTAATTTTGTTAAATGATATACTTTTTGAAGAATATTATAGTTTTTTTTTCATATGGCTTAAGCATATATTGAAACTTTTTGAATCAATTAAGTCAAAGATTAGACACTTGTCATTTCAATCGGCATTTTTGAATTCACTAAAAATTACGTACTCAACTTCTCTGTCATTTTCTATCATATAAACCAACTCGTGTCAAACTGCATCCCTTGCATCTCCTACTGCTCAAGGACTATTAATATCCGTTAATAGCTGATTATACAAAAAAATTTAATTTATGTATAGTTCTACGTCTCTCTGAAATATAAATGTTAGCTCTCGATCTTTTGGCTGATTATATACGACGTGAAAGTACGAAGAATGCAAACTGCAATTCCATCTCGACAAACAGATGCGCATTTGAAAAAGTCATTAATATAATTAATTACTTATATAATCACAAAAAGCTTAATTGAAATTCTTTAATAGAAAAACGAGTTAAGATTTAATATTTTTTTGAGTTTTAAATTGAATTCAATTTTTAAATTAAAGGCAGCTTTAAAACATATTTGTAATTATATAAATTTTAGCTGAATGCTATTGTATTAAGTGTTTTATTTTTATTATAATTTTAATTTTTCTGATATTTTTATTTCGGTTGAAAAGTAAACTATGCAAGCTGTCAGTTGACGATTTAAAATTTTGTTACATAAAAAAACACAAATCAGTTTAACTATATCTTCAGTCATTTCTCAGTCGAATTAATTTACAATCAATTAACCATTACAAAAATTTATGTAACATCAAATTTTTTAAGTACAATTAATTTCATTTATTAATGCACATAAACTTGTGATTCAATAATATTAAATTATAGTTGGATTGGATCTTTCATCGCACAAATCACAGAGAATTTGCACAAAAAATAAACGGCATTGAAATCTATTTAAAAACTTCATAAAATGGTTTCAAATTCCCAAATGCGATTTTTGTTCTTTGAGTTCCATTCATTTCATTGACGGTTATTTAACATTTTCGAGGTTATAAGTAAAACGTCTTCTCTTTTTAATTATTGGAATGTTCACTTTAAAATTATTATCCCTATTTAGCATTACATTATTAAGTTTCAATTTTGAATTCTTCCAAGTTTCACTTAACAAACTTTAAATAATTACATATTTTCAAATTTCAATTTTCAACTTAAAGATCATCTCTTAACTACCGTTTACCTAAAACGACCACACATATTGAGCTTCAGAATTACAAGGAATCTTATGTGTGACCTTCCTATCTCTACTTGTCGCCTCTGTAAATTAGGTGACAAGTATTGATCATGTATCTATCTGCTATTACAGCAGTAATTATTAGTAGTAAATTGTAAAAGCTGATAGTAAAACTCGGATGTTGCAATTTCGTAATTGCAAATTCTTGGTCTACATATAGGTTTACTGTATGAATTCAATAACTCAACCCTATAAAGCTTTTGACCCACACCTCAACTTTCCAGCGTTTTTCTCGTTAGCAAAGGGATTGCTAAATTAGGAAATGATGAACTTCAGTGATGAGTAAATAGTTAACCGTTTAGATAACTAAATATTATCACCTACTTATTGGCTATGATTCCAAATTTTACCCCCCATTCATATTTTTATTTCTTTTGAAAATGCTTGAAAAAATAAGAATATCAGCTAATTCGAGACTCTTCGTACGTAACTTTATTAGTATCTTCTTAAATAATATACAATTTTCAAAATACTTAAAAAAATAAGAATATCAGCTAATTCGAGACTCTTCATACGTAACTTTATTAGTATCTTCTTAAATAATAAACAATTTTCAAAATACTTAAAAAAATAAGAATATCAACTAATTCGAGACTCTTCGTACGTAACTCTATTAGTATCTTCCTAAATAATAAACAGTTTTTATAAGATGATAGATTTTTTTCGTCATTAGGCTCAAGCAAATATTGGAAATATTTGAATTCAAAATAAACAATTTGTATAGTATATATTAATATGTACGCGATACCTCAACTCCAACATATTCGCTGTTATAATAAGAACTTGAGCTAGAGCTAACGTCTACTGATGTTTCATAGGCACCACCATAGCCTCCGTATTGTGGTATAGGTGCAGCTCTTGCTCTCCTTTCTGCTCTTGGATTATGAAGTTTTTGTCCTTTTGGTACTGACCGCGCTAGACTCACAGCAAAAAGCGCCATAAGTAGCGCTAATGCAAAAAGCTTCATTGCTTTTGGTTCCACGTTTCTATGAAACGTAAATCTTACCTTTTGAGTTTTTGCTATTTATATACGATACGATATTTTATCTCGATATGCATTTGTGCGTTTGAAAATGAAGTCAATATATTTAATTATTTATATAATTAAAATTGTCTTGTCTTAAATAATAAGTTATTTAGTGAAATAATTAGTTTAGACCTCAATAAGTAGTCAGTTTATTAAATATAAATATAAGCAACATGTGAATACACACATGTTTGTTAAAAGAGTAAATAGCTTTTAAAAAATTAAGAAACTAATTAACTTCATATATCTGCTTACAATCTATTTTTTCATATTCTGCAGAGGAATAATAATTTCAGATATTGTATAACGACTTTTCTAAAGTAAACAGACTAATAGTGCTACAATATTTGTCCCAGTTATCAGCAAAAGATGCATTCATAAGAGATCAATCAAAAGTGAAAAATACACAGCTGCTCTAACCAACATCTAATATATAATATAACGACGGCGACGTAGAAGTCTGCTACCCTGTGATTATAAAGTCAATGTAAACAAACTACCAATATTTCAATTTGTATTTTTTCCGAATTTTATAAAATACTAAAATGATTGATCTATTTAATTACTAGTGTAACTTTGAGAAAGAGCAAAACAAATAATGAAGTATCTACTACATAACGAAAAAGTTATGTTATAAACATCGGAATATAAATGTTTATGTCGCAACATCCCACAGATCTTTCAAAAGATAAATACGGCCTTGCCAAATTTTTAAAATTGTACTTATTCGCTATACCATATATCATACCATATTACTTACTTACTTACTGTTGTCCTCTTCTGCTATTGGAGCATAGGACCTCTATCATAGATCTAAACCTAACTCTATTGGGTGCTTCGCGGCAATTATCATTCCAGGTTTAATTTGCATTATTAAGTTCTCTATCTATAGTTCTGCGCCATGTTTGTGCTGGTGCGCCAGGTCTTCTAGAGCCTTGGGGAATCTATTGGAGTGCTGTTCTTGCAATATGGTTCGCAACCATACCATATACCATATGCATACCATATATAAAAGACCATGGTCATGGGATTGTACTCTCTTTATCACTACTTCTATATAGTATTATTTATTATTCTGTCCATAAATAAATTTAATAGTACGTTGTATCTACTATAGTTTTATTTTACTTCTTTTGAGTTTAAAATTGAAATTATGTTCAAGGCGATATTTTAGTACTTGTAATTCATTACGTATTTGGTATAGAGATAAGCATTTTAATATCTTATCAAACTTTTAGTTATAATGAAATTTCAGTATAATAAGATACTTATATACATAATAGTATATTATGATTGTTTACAAAGGATTTTTGGCGCGCAGATATGCCGATTTAAACGTCCACTGATTTTATTCTTACGACTCAAAATCATAAAAAAAAGAAAATATCGAGTAACTCTTTTTAAGTAACTTGATTTGTATTTTATAACATAATCAATTTTTTTTAAATATTTTATAATATATATGTAATTAGTCTCATGTAAATCTTAGATACTTTTGTATTTAAAATAAATTAATTGAATTAAAAGAAAGATTAATACATGATAATCTCTTTATCATAATAATCGTCTTTGTACAGTAATACTTATATGGGTTCTTAAAAATTTTTGGTAGCAAGCAACTATGATTATTCCAATTAAGATTTTCTCTAAGCCATTGAATTATTATAAAATGCTGAATAAATTCCGTTACTAAAAAAGAAAACAGATAAGGAAAGACTTTTATATGAATACATAAATCGAATCATCTTTTGGTGTAGGTGCAGCTTTTACTCTATCATAATAATAATACTGTTGTTATGAGATCTTTGCCATTCTGGTAGTGCTGAAACTACATAAATTACGCGAAAAATACCATTATCACAGAATTCTTATTCCAACAATTTACAGTGATTGTGATAATTTATACAGCAAGTACAATGACTGCTTAAGTGATATAACTCTAAATTTAAATAACGCAGATTAGGTGTACAGTGGGTCTATGTGGAAACACGCGTTTAGGACTCAAACTTGTCAGAGTACAATGTGTGACACTTCTAATCTCAAAATTATATGCGATTAAATATATAAATAAATGTTTCCAAAAACCACTGATAAAGCATATTTGGCAATATTCGACACAGCTATAGGATTTTCTTATTCCAAATAGATTTATTGTAATAATATTTTTAATTAAAATAAAAAATAATATACGGCCGATAGATACATTTAGCACTTTTTGGTTAATCACAGGAACTGATCTTGAACTTATACTCGTCTGTAACTACCAAGTACAAGAACGGCTTATCATTCTGGTCATTCTTCTCTATATCTGCATGTTAAGAACCTAAAATCTATTACTTCATAAGGTAATATCTTGTGGATTATATACTTTTATACTGACGATGAGAAGAAAGCAACTGCTTATGGCCAACAAACAATATAAATATCAATTCAGAGAGTATGAATCTGAATGCTTACTATATTTTCCAGTTAGCTTACTTACTACTTCATCTTAAACCTTTTAAAACATTTTCTATGGAAACAGTTTAGAAAGTAAATTGAAACTAATTTTAAATGTAATGCAATAATATAGTTTTTTCAGCTGTTTTAAGATAGAAATTTATAGATTTTTTAATTTCTTTTAAAGTTTTTTTCTAAAGATTGTGTTAAGAAACCGATTCCAGTGTCAATTAATAGTATTATTCCTACTTAACACATACAAAATTTGGGTATTTAAATTAGTCTAATTCACTGGTTCTAAATGGAGCTTTTAAAAAGTTTTTAATATCTACGAAAAAAAAATCCAAATTGAAAATATTTCCATTTCATATTTTTCTTAAGAAAAGAATAAAATTGTAATAAGAGTAAAACTTTTGATTCCATAATTCCTAATTAGAAAACTTCAAAAAGTCAAAAGTTACATAAAGAATTGCAAATATACAAACTCAGGTGAGTTTCTTTTGTATTCCTTTTTTTTGTCCTATGAATGTTAATGCTTCTCTTACCACATCCCTAAACGCTCCTGACTTTGAATAGCATAGAACAATGCAAAAAACTTTTCCTTTTCCAAAAAAAAGGAAAAATTATTTTCACGAAATTATATGAATTGTATCTCACGCTACTTATGAAACAACAAAAAAACAAAAAAACTTTTTCGTATTGGTGAAAAAGGACTTAATTTTTTCCCATAATCAAAGTAAATGACAATTTAACTGAAGTTTGAAAATATTTGGAAAATGTTACGATAGTTTTAGTTTGCTTCTTCAATCATCACTTAATAGAGCACCAATAAATTAGTCGAAAGTATTATTATAAAGATATTTGCAATTGGCATAAATTGATTCAATTGCTTTGCAGTTTTTCTAATCTAGTTTTCTAAAAATATTTTATTTAATGAATTAACTATCACGAATAATACATGAAATATAATATAATAGAGAGTGTTTATATTGTGGAGACACCCCAACAAAAATGAAAATTTATAAATGAGTAATATTCCATTCAATAGTATATGTTAATCCTATGTCTGTGGGATTTCATTACAAGAAATAAAATTTCTAAGCGCATCCTGACTGGTAAGCCAACTGGATAATAAGTCATAACACAATAATTCGAAAACAGATTCGATACTTGATTCGATACTCTCACAGAATTACGTTCAAAGAGTAGTTAATTACAATATATAGTAAATGCCATGGTAGAAGCCTTTACAGATATAAGCACTCTTAATTTATTTTATAAAAACTTATAACTTTAAACTCCTCAATCGATTTATTCGTAATACAAGTCGGTTACTAATTGTACTGATGTCTGTTAAACAATAAGTAATGTAATGTAATATTGAGCCTTTTCCGAGTTAGTGCATCTGGGCAATTTTACTCTTTGATAGCTGGGGAGTTTCTGCAGAGTCCCACCCTTTTCACTGACTAATATTAGTATTCCTCATAATCTTCGTGATTATTCAGTGACTGATCTAAGATCTGCGTACCGCCCCGTGCGGTTAGTGATTATTCTGAGATTAGATAATGTTAAGTCAAGACAACCTGTCTGTTTTCGCATATAGCTTCAGAGCTCTACATAAGGGATTATGCAGTTTTGGATCGGATCTATTTTAAGGTCTCTTAGCAAGTCATTTGTGCGGATGTGCCATGGCACTTTGAAGAGCCTTCGGGGAGCTTGACTTTGAGCAACTTGTAGCGCAATACAATAAGTAATATAATAAAAGTCTTCTTGGTTAAAAGAAGATCGATAACTAGTCTATGTTGTTTTATATAAAGTCTTTTTTCCAATGCCTTTAAAATTTTGTTATTTCTTCTGTATTATTAATATATTTGTTTTGATTTTTTTATTTTAGGATGATTACTTACTTGAAAAACGAAATAAACCATCATTATCGATTGTAAATCCATTGGATGTACTTAGGCAACGATTATTATTGGAAATTGCACGAAGACAAATGAAAGAAAATACTAGACAGGTAAGTAAAATTTTTATATTTTATTATTTTTTTTTGCAATATTTTATTTGAAAGTATTTACTTTTTTCTATTACCATACAATTGTAAACCCATTGCAATATATGTATAGACATTTATCTATACGCATATTAAAATTTTTTTATTTTTATATAAGTTATAAGTTAATTATAATACATTATTTAAACTCATAAACTCTCATTATATCTCATTAAATATCACTGGCTACTACGGGCTCATGATATATTATGCAGTATTTAACAGATCATGGAATGCCATAACAAGGAATTGAAAGATTGTGATTTTCCAGGCGCAAGCACTTTTACAATAGGTCAGCGGTCACTTTTAAGTTTCCTATCGCACTCTTCACTTTTTTCGCAATTCTTGTTTCAGGTTTAGGAACTGTGGGATTTATGGCTTCTCAAATATTGAGATTTATTTAAAATTGATACTGTTTATTTAAGTACTCGATTTTTTGATCTTCTGTGACTTATCAAATATGGAGATTCAAGACGAACTTTAAATTGCTTTACAAATTCCAATAATGCAACCGATTTTGAATACTTGTACAGTAAAACTTCTTTAATTTACAATTTTTTCGTTTTGAGAAGTGAATTAAAACCATGCCCATCTTCTAAATTGAGTTATACTAAAAATGCCATATTCAGTCTAAGTCCGTTAGAGTAGAAAATATTCCATATGGAAGACACAAATATTCGGAATTTCTGTCTGTGAGCGTGTGTAAATTTAATATTTTACAAATCATTTAATTTATTATAATAGTATTAATAATATTGTGAAAATGTTTTTTATTTTGCGTAAACTACTATATAACACTCCGATATTATGAGTCTTGTACATTGGTGTACATTCCATTTCTTACCCGAAAAATTGAAAAGAATATGTCCATGTGATTTTTGGCTGTATCTAGAGTTACACTGTTTACTCTTTGTAAATTGTTTACTCTCTGTAAACAGTGTAACTAGAGTACTTGCATATGTATCTTGTATAAATATAAATAATAAATATTTTAAATCTGGATATGTCAATAAGCCTGAAAAATAATTACTTTTTATATATATTTTTAAAAGTATTTTGCTTTTCGGGTGTAAAATATATTTTTTTAATTTTAGAAAAAAAATTTGATAAAAAATTTCAAATTATTTTTCAATTTTCTTTTTTAATTTGCATTTATTATGCAGTCAATTGAACAGAGTCGAAATTTTTTACGATAATGGTGAAAAAATAATGACTATAGAACGTAAACACTATCGAAAAAAATTTAACATTGCAAAAACTTTATAAAAGAAATGAAAAATGTCATAAATAATATGGGTTTTTCTATACTAAGTTCGATAGCTGAAAATAATTTATTTATGCCCGAAATATGTGTATGATTCGGAATATTCTATTTTTTTTTTAACATTGTATTAGAGTAATCACTTTATCTTGGAATCTCGTTGCAAGCTGCATGAAATGCACAGATTGCGCGAAAATCTGCAATAGACAACCACAAAATACACGCACAAAGTTTCTTGGAATGGCTTAAGATCTTGCTACACTTAAGCCCATGTATATATGATTGCAACGAAACAAAAAAGAAAAAAAATAGCTGTTTTAACATCTGTTGTTCCTCATGTGGATGTGGTATGCTGCAAAAATAGCTGTTTCATTTTGATGTTGCAATGCTGCAACAGATGTGTTCTCGCATTCTTGCAATTTTAGTATAGCATTCTTGCATTTCGTGCACCTTGAAATGATTTTGCAAGACAGAGTCAATACCCCTTTTGATAACAAACAAAGTAAACAGTAGTGTAGCTAGGATTAGGGGATATATGCCCCATTTGACAATATGGTATAATCTACAGATAATATACAGTAAAACCATTTTCACCCCTATCCCTTGCACAAACAAGGGATTACAAGGGATGCCACTTAAAGTAGCGTAGTCTGACTCAATATTGATAGTAGCAATAACCAGATACTGTCTAACAGAAAGTCCTACTCATATCATGTGTATAAATGTGATAGCTCTGAATTTGTGTCGAAACTGCTATGTTATGGTCCTGCTCTTGCAACTTCAATAGACAACACACAAATCAGCGATCCTTTTTAATTCCTGAATAGCCCGATTGGAAAGTCGTATTGCAAACTTTATTGCAAAGATCTAGTAAAAAACTGTGTTGATGATAAATAAAGTCGATCTATCTGTCAATTAAAACTAGAACAGTAGTTATTAATTACTCCGATTTAAATAAACTTGGATGTCTTAACGAAAAGAAGTGCAAAGTTTTTCTGAATGAAAAATTTAATAACGACCAAAAATAAAAAGAATTAAATCAAAATATTTATAAACTGAAATCTGCAAAAACGTATCAAATTTTTTTTACTTCAACAAAATCGCGTATTTTTCTTTAGGCATTTCACATTCCACTTTTTACTGTTAACTGAGAACTGAAAACTTTTTTAAAGGATTCGTTACTTTGCAGAGAAATCAAAGCACTTTATATGCGGATAAAATTTCTCAAAATCACATTAAGAAAAAATTTTTTTACAAATAAATGACGGAAGGAGCGCATTACATTACAGTACATATCTTTTCTTATTTTTCCACAAGAATTTGTCGCAGCAAGCGTCATGAATTGATTTGTCATCTTGTCAAGTACGCAGATTAAACTTGTGATATCATAAAAGTTTGCAAAACGGTATTCAGCCGCGCTTATTTCACAGATTAAAATTGTGAAATGTTTACTGAAGAAATTTAATAACGACGTCTTCCTTTTAAGTCGCAAAGCATATGTAAACCCACACGAATCCTCAAAATTACAATGAAAAAAGAGACAATATTGTTGTGTTTCTTTACTGTTTTTTATATTTAATTTCAAATTTATACAATATATAATTTAAAAGAAATTAACTTTTTGTGATAGAAAAAATGACGGAATAAAGATTTTTGTATTGTAACTTTATGTTAAATCAACAAAAAATTATTCAATTTATATTCTTGTCATCGATAATTGAATTGCCTTCTATCATTTCCTACATAAAAAGATTGTTAACGATGTCCCTACTAAGATACTTCATTATTACTAAAAATATATGTGATGAATGTATCAGAAAAGTACGGGGTACTGAGAATGAATTAATATTATTTGTAATTGAAATATATAAATATATTAAAAAACTTGGATTTAAATGTATCTACATATAATTCACATATTTCATAAATACCATAAGGACCATATAGAGTAATATCGTACTATTATTGAAAATTAATATAAAAAACTTAAAGCAAATATGATCTATCTATGATAGAATAAATAACATATAATATTAAATATTATTAATATTAATTTTAATATTAATTACTCAAAGGTAATTACTTAGCCGAAGACCTTATGGGCATAGCGCTGTAAATCAGATGTTGTACTCGGTTGGGATTATATGATCCCAATCACATGTATTACGGAAAAGCCCTAAAAACCGTGATTTAAAAAGCATGGTACCAAAATACAACAAAATAAATGTATTCACAACTAAATTAAAGGCAAAGGTAGGAGTAGAAGCTGATGTCTATTGATCATTAGGATGCCGTTTAAACTTCTCGATTTCTGCAGAATTTTATCTGTTAAAACGGCAGCAGCAGAGCTCATGTAAGTGGATAAAACGATAAGCAGCTATTAAAGCAATTAAATCATACTGATAATCATGAAAAGATATTCTAGAATGCAAGAAAGCTATAGCTAGACTAGCCTGCAGCTACAGACTATATATGTACTGGGTTCATGGTCATAGAAAAGCACAGTTGATGCTATTGTTAAAACTTGCGTAAGACTTTCAGATGACCATACATGCGATGTACTTAGACCTCTGAAACAGATATATAAGCTCATAGACGAGCGCATGACAAGGAGAGCAAAGGAAAAGTGATAAAATTTAATCACCTGTAGAATAGCTAGGATCAAATATAGACATATATACAACGAAAAATACGCTGAAGATGTTATATCGTTTGGCCGAAGAAACTGTAGAACATTAATTAGTATGTTGACCGGTCAATGTTTTGTCGCATCACACGCGCACAAACTAAACTTAATTTGCCGTAATGCCGGATAATAAATTTTGTTCTCATAATAATTAAACCATCAAAGACGCTTTTAAGTTACTTAAGCTATGACCTTGTAGTACCTTTTGTCTGCAAAACAGGTATTGAAAATATTTTTGAAATACATCAAAAACGACTGAAACATCAAAATTTAGACAGTTTTTTATCGGCAATAATACAGTATCTAATAAAGCCACAGTGGTAAATTCTTATCTTATCAAATTCTTATCATTGGTCTTAGCAACCATTCGTCATATTTATCTGAATTAAAACATCTAGTTATTTTCTAAACCAAAACTAAAGACAAAAATAAATCGTTTTAATACTATCCCCATCATCCAAAATCATACGAAATACTAAACACGAAAAATGTATTATTTTTATCAATTATCCGCCGTATTATCTGATTAAGCTCTATACGACTTCTGGCTATTTTCCAAATCAAAAATTGACTATTGAAACAAACCACTTCATTATCATTCCTATCATCCAAAATAGCGCTTTGCTGACTCGGAAGAAGATTATTTTGAATAAACAAAAATAAAAAACCATTATAATAAACACTTCGTTTTTATATCTTTCGTAGTAAAGTTTTATCATATCTGGAGGGTTGAAGAACTGTACTGAATAACAAATCAAACAATAACAAAGGACAAATAACAATAGGTGTAAATATAAGAGAATAAGCCACACACCGTATGACGCAAACCGTATGACGAAATTCTATAAGCAGCTTTGATATGAAATGGTCAGAATTCTTAGCTGTAGTGCAGATATTATAGAAAAATTTAAATCATTCAAAGATTCAAATCAGAAATGGAGTTGGGCATGTAGCAAAATTTTCTAAAATTATCTATGTAAACTCCTGATAGAAGTATCGGGTTAATAATAACATAACTCAACCTTAACATATTATGCACAAAATATAATACTAAATTAACATTTTTTCTAAAAAACTGAAATACAACAAACTTTCCTTACCATTTTTCTAAAAACTATTCTTTTAACCCTTTCTTAATAAATTCATAACCCTCTCGGTTCGTCTTCGAGTTCGTTTTTGAATAAAAAGCATACAAACCTGTTGTAAAGCCTTTAAGGTCTATTAAAATTTATGTCTCAGACTAAATTCAATTTTATTTGACAATTTTATTTGTGTTTTAGTGAAAATATACGAATTTAATTCCCTCACTGTCAAATAAACACCTTCTTTAAAGGAAAATTGATTGAAATTTCGGTCAGGTACTATTTACCATAAAAAGCCAAAACAAAGTTTATTAACTTGATCAACTTCTGGGGCAATAAATACAAAAATAGTCACAAAACATAAAATGTACTTTTTTTTGAATAATCTAAATTTCCGGAAAAACACTAACATTTTCATGAGAGTTTTTTTTTATTTTGTCGAAACTTTTCATTTCGTGCTGATGCAACTTTTTTTTATATGGAAATATTTTTACTATTTTAAATTTAATTAAATTTTCAGGTTGAACTAAATCGCGCCATTTTGAAAAATGTTGGTAAACGCATACCTGCCACAAGGCGTTACCAGATGTCATTGGCACAGGAGCGTCAATTGCAGCGGCAACTGCAGCAAGAACAGTTGCAGCAAAACTATCCAAGTCAATTGGACTATGTACCCATCTCCTTTTTAGAGTTCTTACAACGACCCGTATACGAAGCACTTGTTGATGAGAAGAAATTCCCTAACATGGGCAAAACTGAAAGTCAAGTAAACGGAAACGAAATTGGTAATGAAACAAATCATGAGAAAAACAATGGCGTTCCAAGGACATCCAATGCAGTGGGCAAGGAAAATAGGCATCGTGATGGCAATAGCAATGGCAATGACAATGGTATTGTCAATGGAAGTGGCACTGGCAGTTTGGCTAATGATATGAGTAACAGTATGGGAAACAATGGCAACATGGGCATATCTGCAAGTGGACTGGTATTGGATTTACTTGGCGATGAAGAGGACGAATACGAAAATATGCCAACCAACACAAATGATGGCTATCAGTTGCGCTACCTTTACCGCATGCATAGGAATAGATATGCGCACAAATAAACCATCAACAATTGAAATATAAAGTAAAAAAAAAAATTTGCTGTACTAAACTTAAAGTTTGTGTTAAACAGCAAAATAAAAATAAATTATTTTATTATTTAATATTAAATAATTTAAATTTTTAAATATTTCTTTTGTTGAAGTTTTAACATTAAACGACAAAGTGAATCGCTAACGAATTAGTGTAATTGCTCTGAAAATATGCTTGATATGTGTAGATATAGACTTCATTACATATGGCTATATATGCATGAATCCGACTCTCATACTAAGTAACTTTAATTTACAAATCCTTAAAAGAAAACGTAGTGAATTTTAAATGGCGTTCTTGTTGTAGTTTAAATAAAATAAAACAAACAAACTCAATATAATAAATATAAATAAAATATATATATTATAAATCCCTACCTATATGGTTAGCATAACTACTAAATATATTTTTTATTTTTGTAATTTAAA